GCTCGTATTCTGAATGGCCTCGTTGTTATTAAATCATTAGTTTCTAAGATTCTATAAGTAGATACAGCAGCCTAATTAATTTATTTAGAGGGTGAAACATGGCTAGCATTTCCGTAATGTTATGGACATAATGAATCATATCAGCTATTGAGATATATGTTTCACAACATATTTATAAATTTGGTAAAATTAGCTAGGTACGAAATTTATTATGTTGGTCTGGCGTTGAGCTTGGTTCTTTGTTTCGTTTTTGGATTCTTGACCCTTTTTTGTCACAAAAATGATAATTATTAATGATATGAGTACTATGAAGAAAATCTAATTAGTTTGTATAAAAAAAGTTCCATGAAACATTCAACTTACCTACAAATATCACGAGCAACAAACTAAATCCGACCACAGACCAAGGGTGAAAGATTTGAGGGATGAGTGACTTTCAGAGAGCAAGCTTTTCCAGATGTGAACGGCATGAGGTGAGAACGTCAGAGACTATGACCCAGTTTGGTACTGTGAGGTAAAATAATCAGATTTGGAGCAAACCTGTAAATGTTTGGTAAATTGAAATCAGCTTTGGGCCAAATTCCCATATAGGTGTTTGGCAAATATGTTATTGTAGAAGTGATTGAAAATATGAAGCTTACCTACATATACCATGAGGAACAAAAGCAACAAACTGCAATCGTCTAACCACAGGTCAAGAGTGAAAGATCTGAATGATGAGCGATAAAAGGAATGAAGATTAAGGATTGGTAGGAAGTAGAGACGATGACTTAATGGAGCGAGCTTTGCTAGAAATCTTCAGTGGCGGAAATGAAGTGGATGAGGAGATAGACTAAGGCGAAAGCGAGCATTATATTTATAGGCCTTTATGCACATTGTTCAGTCTTCGGTTTCTAAACATGTTCTTTTTCACGTGAAGTATCAGTGACGAAATAATTCACGATATGATAATTTAGTTTAACTAATCATACCGTACATGCCCTAATCTCGGAGTGTAAAGTCTATATATGTAGCTACTAGCCGAGAGATTTTGAATACAGTGCAACATATATGACAACTTCCATTTCTAGCAAGTTATTGTTCTTAAAGCACTTAGGGCTTCTTTAATTTGATTACTTTTGGTAATGCCAAAAAAGATAATAAAAGCCAGATATGTGCTAGCATGGCGGGTATATATATATATATATATATATATATAGTATGATTAGTATCTGGAGGCATGGAGAAGTGATATTTTTTTTTTAACAAACGATATTATCTACACTAAGGGGAGGGGGTGCACTTAGCCTCACAATAGCTAGCAATAACGTGGTTCAAATTCGTCTTTGGCAATAATTGAACCTAAGACCCCTCATTTGCAAGTGAAGATGAGTATCACTAGACCGTAGTATATACTAAGTGGCATGGAGAAGTGATATTTGTGCTGATTGGATTGCCAAAATTACCTGTTTTGCAGCATTGTTATGGGTTTATACATGAGCTTGATGGCCCTCTTGATGGTATCAGTAATGATCTAAAGGACCACCGGTTGGAGGCGAAATGTTTTCTATTTTCAAGTTAGAAATCTCATTAATAAATATTAAATTTCTATACTTAAACTTGATGTCTAAAATGTAACTAATTCTGTATGAAGTCAGGTGCTAACAAAAATATGAGTTTCTTAATTATTGTATGATTATTAAGTAATCAAGTACTTAATTATAAATAAAAATTAAAACCATTTCATCATCACACACATATTACACAATGAAATGGTGTATTTTGGTTTGGTCTACTATGAATCTATGATATTCAAAATTTTTACTCAATGTGGTGACCGCGTGTAAATGGTGCAATTAGCTAACTTGCAAAGCGTTGTATTGAGAAATGTAACTTGCAACGCACGTAAGTTGCTTCCGTGGTAAGGTTGTTTAAAATTTGATTGTTGGAAGACCAAATTAATGTGTTCGGGAATATTTAGCATGTTATGCTATTACAGTTTTGATTAATGGATGATTTAGGTATCGTAGACCTATTGGCCGGGTATTAACATTTTCTTGTAGATAAACAGCAGCATATAGGAGGATGATGCAACACTAACACTAAGAAAATACTGAAACAAGTAATTGAATAATTAATAGTCATTTGATAACAAGGTAATAAATCAAAAACATTAATAATAAACCACCAGCACAACGTATGTTTAGCCTCTTACGGCCAGGGTTTCGGGGAAGAATTATCTCCAAAATTCCAAAAGCTTCCGTTCCATGCATTATTGTGCCCTAGATCATCCCCCGCATCATCATTATTTACAGAAGGAAAAGATGGATTGTCAAAAAAATCACCGTATGGATTCCCAAGCCCACTAGAAAAGTCCCCGTCAAACCACAAATACTGCTCCTCCTTGCTTCTCCAGGGAGTCCACCCATACTGACTCAAATTAAGTACCGATGCCATGTCTTCTTCACTAGTTTCGACTGCTGGCGGTGGCTGTGGTCTGACAGGCACATCTTCAGCAGCAGCAGCAGAATTCACCCCATCAGCATTTTGATCAGGTGATTCGGTGACAGTCGGCTCCTTGGCCTCCACCCCCTCCTGGGTCTTTTCCTTTTTCTCGTCCTCTTCCTCATCTTTTTTCTTCAACTCCTCCTCCATCTTATCTTCCCTCACCTCCTCCTTCTTCAGGCGAAGCTCTCTTGCCATTCGCCTTGTCAAAACTCCATGACGACTATGGAGTCCCTCAGCATTCGTCATTTTTCTTTCTGAGCTCATTGTCTTCTTATTCATTTTCTGTTTGTCACAGAGGGAGAGAGTCTGGATGAGCTTAATGCGTATAAAGCAGCTATGGAGAGAAGATAGCGTAATCTGAGCTTCTTTGAGCAGAGAAGGGAGTGAAAGCGATTGCTCTCTTATAGACACACAGCTCACCTAGCTGTTAGGGTTTTGATGAAAAAAGATATATTTCTTTGTGGAGTTTTTAGAGTAACTCTTTTATCGAGAAATTGATATCCCTTACCCAAATATGTCGCTATACTTTAGACTGGGTATGTAGCTGTTTAATTGCTTAAGTTCTCAGATTCAAATACCTACGAATCAATAGTATTATCTCGAGATATAACATGATAAAAACAGTGAACATGCAGCCATGCCACGCGGACTTACTCCATGCAGAAAATTACAGTTTCTCTTTACAACATTTCAGTTTCTTTGGGTTGTAGTGAGTGCTTTAAATGTTCACGTTCCCCCCCCTCTTTTTCTTGTCTTTTTTTCCCATCTGTGCGTGTTTTGCATGCAGCCACACTGTAATTACGTTTCAAATGGCAGTTTCATTGTGTATTTAATTGCATCAGTTTCATTAGGAGTTTAAAAAAAAAAAAAGTAACGTTCTCATCTTCCGTCAATTGATTTGAGTTTTGGCTTCTTTTTTTCACTTCTCTGGAGGATGAATTCCAAAGCAGACAGAAATTTCTGTTTCACCTTCAATGGAAAACATCTATCAACTAAATGGATTTGTAAAGTGATATGACTTGCTGGGAAATATAATTTGTCAATGGGATTTTAGTGTTGCATACCTAATAATCATTAAATCTAATACCGTGGAATACAACTTACATGGAATGAGTTCACCGTCACCGTTTCATATATGTCATTCCAGACTATGGTTCCCAAGTCCGAGTTATGGAAGCCGGGGTTCTGGGGCCTGATCCTGGGGGCCAAGGTCCCAAATTCGAATCGATCAATGAGTTTTGTCGAGGTCTAGAGCATAGGAGTCCCATACTGAGTCACGCCAGAAATCTTCGTTACTATTATGGTGCAACTTAGAAATGGAACTTTGACATCTCCAAATTTTATGCATAATCCCTTCTCCGTTGTAAATCCCATTTTAAACTTGTCAAACAAGATAAACTAATTGATCGATTCTGCTTGAAGAAATTTAGAACTACTTGCAGTGATGTGTCTTTAGTAACTTAAGATGTCAAATCTGGAACATTAGATTTAGCTAGTCTCGATCTAAATTCTTTTTTTTTTGTTTTTTTTTTTGGACAAAGCGATGTCGAATTTGTACAAAAGTTGTGGTATTCAGACGTAAAATCATAAGGAATACATATTAGTCCTAGAAAGGGGAAATATTACAGAAGAAGAAAAAACGACCGAACTATCATTTACGTCAGGATTTTCTCTCCCAACTAAAGATCCTTCCGAACGAACGACAGAAAACTTCAAGGCCAGGTTGGCAGACCGAAACAAATAAGGCAGCAAAACAAGTGCCAAATGATATGATAAGGCAGCAAAACAAAGAGTAGGCAAAGCAGAGTTGACTTCAATTGATTAATGGGATAATTAAAAACTCAAGCTCAAACGTTTCTGACCAGGACTGGAAAATTAGAAATCAAATGAAAAGGCAAGGGACTCGTAGCTCAGTTGGTTAAAAGTATTCTCCCTTGCACCCTAGGGCCGAATTCACAAGAAAAGATTTAATCACCATTTGCAAAACATTGAGAATTATCCTCAATTTCTCCAAAAGTTACCAATGTCATGAAATGCCAAATCAGAAAAAAGAAAACAAAACAATAAAGCTTATTGTAGCAACAACGCAACTAAAGGGTTCACTTCTTCCTAAAAATAGCAACATCAAAGTGTTTTCACTGCACTTCAACAGTATTTTCAATTTAATTAAAATTCCAACAACCCACAACCAATTCTAATCAGAATACAAACCAAAGTTTAGCATCCCAAGAATCAAAATTCTATCTGTAATCCCAAAAAATTGCAGTACAAGACCAAAATAAAAACTTGCATCAGGAAACTGAGACAAAAAAAATACAGAGACGAGTTAAGGGGAGAGAGCCTAGATAGAGAGTGACCATAGCCAAAAATTGCAGAGAAACATTTCCCATTTGGGGGTTTTGGTGTTAGATAGAGCCCACTACCAAGCAACAACGAATGCACACAAAATCAAACCAAATTCCATGAGAACCCGAATTCCATAAGAATAGAATTTGGTCATGACACAAGATAAATGACACCAAATAAGCTTTATCCATACCAACACAAGCCAACATAATTGACACCGAATAAGCTTTACCGCAGCACATACAGTTCTCTGCAGATATCCATAAAATTAATGTTAATCTGCAAAAGATATAACACAATCTCTCAAGACTAGTGGCGAAAGAACAGATTGTTTTGCCATAAAAAATCTAGCAAAAATGCTTGAGACAAAGTATACAAAGGATATTGCCCCTATTATTTTTTGCACCTTTTATAGTGCGAAAATGAATCCAACATGATCACCCACGTCAAGCACCTTCGGGCACATCTTCGAAATTAATAGAAAAATTCAAGAGGCATTTGCGAAATGTTGCCATGGATCCTCTACATGTTTGCTTTCCTTTCCCACCTTTCCTTTGTGTCGAGCCTAGCAACACAGTAGCATTAGATAAAAATTCCAATATACGAAATAATATCTTTGGTGAATGATAACATTTATTGCTACTTTTGTTATATATATGGATATTACTAAGCATGCATATCATACCCCCAATGTAACTTGTGGCTCTTCTTTGGAGCCCGGACTGCTATATCCTCATGCTGTACAACAGAACTGGTTTCATTCTTCTGGTTCTCAGAGTCACAGACAGTTGAAGTTTCAAATGTTATGACTGAATCTTGGTTTGCAGTATCTCTAGCAGCCAGGTCTATGCTGTGAGATTTTCCTTTACTACCTGTAATACCTCTAAAATTAGACACAAAAAATACACTTGTACAGGAGAGATAACAAACATGACTGAGGAAACCAAGGAACCTTTTGGTTTCTTTCCAATCTTTGATTTTGATTTTGATTTTGATTTGATCTGTAACCTCCTCCGGTGCAGCTCCTATAATGTTCATGAGTTTAAGTATCTAGAAGCAATTCAAGCGCTAAACAAAGATAAACGAAAGAACATCGGATAAGTGGAGAAAGTAATTAATGCCCCTTCAGCATCGTAAGTTCCCTCCAGTGTCTATTGTTACTACCCCAAAGGCTGAGGATCTTTTAATAAGCAGTCCAAAACCTCAGGTGACAAGATAGGAAACCAGAGACCAGAAAATATCATGAACTTTTAGCAGACACATAAATACTTGCAGCTTCCTAACTTGTGAGGTTGTAAATGGGTCCTGTCTAATTGTGCGCGCTAATTCAGGATATAATTTTACTTGCACCACGAACACTCAGCCACATTGTGTACTATTTCACATGTATGAGTTCTAGGGTATGTTAAGTAAAAACGAATACATGTGATATAATTTGAGTGGAATAGTAAGACCACATGGTAATGTTCCTGGCACACCGAAAAATCTCTCCTAGTTAAGGCTTGTGCCCCCTTACCAATCTTCCCACCCAAGACAGACACGGGGGACCCGAATGAAGGGAGGGTTTATCCCTTGTGTCGGTCTTGGGTGAGCGAATGGTGACTTGGCACAGCTGCCAGCACCCAAGAACCTTTCCTAGTTCAGAGGTGGTCAGCACCCACTGATTTCCGTTAGACGTGTCTGATTTAATCATTCTACTACAAAAATGTTGAGATTCAAACTCATCGACGGAAATCAATGGGTGGTGAGTATACCACCACCACTAAAGAGTGGTGAGCAAAAACTCATCTTTTAATGAAGATTATAACATATTCAGGAGCGGTTAAATCAACAATTATCCAACCCAATGAAAGCTCAGAGGCAGCCTAACAATCAAGACAAACTAAAATGGTGAAAAGATGATAGAACTAGCAGCAGCTACAAGGACCCAATTAAACTGATTGTTCGATCAGAGCTTCAAATAACAGAACAAAAAATGCACAAACAAAACAGAGACCAAAGTGGCGGTGGTGGCGAGAGTACCTGGAACTTGGATAGCTGGGTTTGGGTGAGGGATTTGGGCTTGTAATTGGGCTGCAGACACGGCGTGGATGCGATTGCTGCTTCCTTTCTCTCGTCTTCCTTGTCTCCTTCCATTCCCATCCCCGCTTTTCTTCCGCTTCCTTAATTTCTTTGGGTTTCGTACGCCCTTCCTGTAATACGCGGATGCTTATTACATTTTCCGGGTAATCCGAGTACTTGAACCACCCGACTTATTTGGAGTCTTTTTGGGTATTTATCAAATATAGCCCAAAATTAGTCTGTAATTTCAAAAAAGAATTGTTATTAGCATTCCAAAAATCTCATTCTACATCCCAAACTTTCTATATTAGAAAAGAAAAATACACTTGTGAGGAATATAGAATGAGATTTTTAGAATGCCAATAACACTTCTTTTTCAAAAATGTTGATTTTTTATAAAAACTTTCAAATACATCCAAATTCCACTTATATAGTCATAAATACCCTCAGTTTATATGAATAACTAGTTTTTTTTTTAAAACAAATGATATCATTTATACTAACTAAAAAATTTCTTGTACAATAATCAAGTGTTGCTCTCAATAATATTTTCTTTTTTTTTTTTTTTTCGTTTCTTTTCCAAACGAAGAACAAAGGTTTCTGTCAACTTTATTTTTCTTTGTGGTAAAACCTAATTAATTAGCATGAGAATTTTGTTGGTTAATTTCCTTAATTTTTGTCTTGCTCAACATTTATGCTTTTCTTAATACTGTAAAAAGCTAGTATGTAATATCGGTACTTGAAGGGCAGCTTGGAATTATGAAAAAGTCCTTTTTGTATTTATTTTTTCGTGCTATATTACATATATGAAGAAAGATTTAAGGATCACAAGGTTTCTTTGATTATTTTATTAAAATAAAAAATTGAGAGAAACCTTTGTTCTTCGTTTGGAAAAGAAAAAAAAAGAAAATATTATTGAGAGCAACACTTGATTATAGCACAATAAGTTTTTTAGCTAACAATTAGTTATTCATATAAACTCAGAGTATTTGTGTCTATTTAAGTGGAATTTTAGATATATTTGAAAGTTTTTATAAAAACTGACATTTTTGAAATTAAAGGTTAATTTTTTGTTATATTTGATAAATTCTCATTTTTTAAGCCTCACAATGAGCTATCAATAATATGGTTTAAATTAGTCTTTGGCGATAATTGAACCTGAGACCGCTCACTTACAAGTGAAGATGAATACTACTAGACCGTAGTACTAAAAGACTATTCAGAGTTTTTATGTTTGAGGTATTTGTGTAGGAATTAACTCCATATACTTAACTGAATGACCTAATCACTACCATGAAAGCATTAGAGTGATATCTGAAGAAGACAGACATGGTTGGTTGCACAAGGAATCCTTCTACTCACTCAAGACCTTTTATATTCTTATGGTGATAGAACCCTATGTTCGCAGAATAATTTCTTGGTGAGCAGGGAACTCCTATATATAAAGAAACAACGGTTGCCAACTCCTATCTATAGTGGGTGAGTTGGTTATTGTCCCGTTGTATCAAGTTTAGCAGAAAAAAAGGTTAGTACTGGAGGGCAGTTGCATCCCAAACATTTCGAATGTGTTTCCATAATTATAGGATGTTAGTTATCCACGTATCAAACTCTTATTGAAGTTGTATTATCCACATGTAATTCCACATTTATCACAAGTAGTTAAGTCCACATAAGATTCCTACATTCTCTCGCATGGACGCTGACTAGTTGTGGTTTCGAAATTTCATGTACTACATAACTTCATTCATCAGTGACCACTTGAGTTCTATGCAACTAGTATCTTATACACATTGACCAATAATCATTTGGAGTTTGAATCTCAGGAAATAATGCATACAATAATGTTGCATTCACCTTGAAACTACAATCCACAAATTCATACTGTATACGAAGACATACATTATGCACATTCTAAACACGGTTCTTGATGCATACCCCATTTCATTCCCATTTACCCTGTTTACCTTTATTGGTTGAAAGTGGTTTGCCATCTTCAATCACTGGATTTTTTTCTTTCCATTTTCCTGCATAACAAAACTCAATCAAATGTTCTTTGGAACAGAGATAAGACATTTTATTGCAAGTCATAAATTAAAACCTCATACATTTAGCAATGACAAACTTAAAGCAAGTAAATTGAATAAAAGTAAAATACATATCAGGTTGTTACTCTCACACTTTAGTGGAACCCAAGTTGTCATCACTCCCATGCTCGTTCTTTAAACACTCCCACAACCAGCGACATAGTTAAAGGATCTGCCAACATCAGCTTTGTATCAATGTGTTCTACAGAGATCTCTCATTTCTTTACATGTTCCTTCCCTGATAGGTATTTGACATCCATCAACCGAGTGGCTTCAGACTTTTTATTGTTTCTGGAAAAGAATAATGCTGCTTTGTTGTCGCAATACACAGTTAGAGGTCTTGAAATAGTGTTCACTATTCTCATAAATGATATGAGATTTTTCAGCCACATTCCCTTCTTAGTTGCTTCAAATAGGGCTATGAACTCAACTTCCATAGTTGAAGTAGCTAATGCCTTTTGTTTGGCACTTCTCCATGAAACAGCTACACCAGTAAGAAAGAATATGTACCCACTCGTTGATTTTTTATCATCCACGCAACCTGCAAAGTCTGAATCAACATATCCCTTAAGTTCCAAGTCTTGTACTCTTTTGTATGTCAGCATGAATGACTTGGTCCTCTGTAAATACCTCAACATTTTCTTCGCTGCAATCCAATGTTGTTCTTCTGGATTCGATTGGTATCTCTTTAATACACTTATTGCAAAGGCTAGGTTAGGCCTTGTGCAAACCTGAGCATACATTATACTTCCAATCAATGATGCATAAGGCTTTGATGTCATACTGAGTTTTTCCAAGTCATTTTTAGGACATTGTGACTTGTTCAGTCTATCTCCCTTTCCCATAGGCACTTCACCACTTGAGCAATTTTGCATGTTGAACCGTTGTAGTACCTTATCAATGTACGACTTCTGAGAAATTCCAAGTAAACTTTTTTATCTATCTCTTGTGATTTCTATCCCGAGAACAAATGAAGCATTTCCCATATCTTTCATCTTAAAGGTTTTAGACAGCAAGGCTTTTGTCTGAATCAACAAATTGATACAGTTACTAGCAAGGAGAATGTCATCTACATATAAGATAAGGAAAATGTACCTTGAACCACACACTTTCAAGTAATATGCAATCATCAATCTTGTTTTTAGTAAATCCAAAAGCAGTCATCTTCTCGTCAAACTTTAAGAACCACTGTCAGGATACTTGCTTCAATCCATATATAGATTTGTTCAACTTACACACCATTTTCTCTTGCCCTTCTTTTATGAAACCAAGTGGTTGTTCCATATAGATGTTCTCCTCCAAATCTCCATTAAGAAATGCCGTTTTCACATCCATTTGGTGAAGCTCCAAGTCATAATGTGCAACCAATGCAAGAATGATTCTGAAACTGTCTTTAGTTGACACTGGAGAAAAAGTTTCTGCATAATCGATTCCCTCAGCTTGTGTAAAACCTTTTGCTACTAGTCGTGCCTTATATCTTTCAATCTTGTCAGATGAATCTTTCTGTCTTAAAGATCCATTTGCTGCCAATCTTCAAGTGGATTAACCAAAGTCCAAACCCCATCAACTTGCATGGAATTCATTTCTTCCAACATTGCATTCTTCCATAATTCTGATTGCTCAGATTGCATGGCATGATCATAAGTCATTGGATCATCAATTATGACTTCATTTATCTCAATCTTCTAGAGATACACCAAGTAATCATCAGGTATAGCTGACCTTTTTGTTCTCGGTGGCAACAATCTTTTCTCAACAGTGGCTTGACTCTCAATTGGTTGGTTTCCAGTTTGTGATGAGGATTCGGCCGTTTCGGTCGTGACATTTTCATATGTTGGTTGAACAAAATCATCAAGTTGGAACTCAATCATTGATTGTGGCTGATCTGTGGTTTCTAGATTGCCATGCACATGCACGTCATCCAGTGCTTCATTATTAAACAAAATCTCAATTCTTTTCTCTAGCAACACATCACCTATTTCCTCAAACCATGAGCTCCCTCTAACAGTGTCTGACTCTTGAATCTCATCATTATCCTCTATAAACTTAGCTAGACCAGTTTCGATAATTTTGTGAGGAAGGCTTGGAGTGTAAAACCTAAATCTCTTGGATCTTTCAGGGAATCCCACAAAATAACACGTAAATGTTCTCGAGTCTAATTTCTTCTCCATGGGATTATACATCCTAGCTTCAGCTGCACAACCCCAGGCATGCAAATGGTTGAGACTCGATTTGCGTCCCGTCCATAATTCATATGGAGTCTTCAATACTGCCTTTGTGGGAACACGGTTCAAAATATAATTTGCCATTTTAAGGGCTTCCCCCCACATAAATTAAGGAAGCTTTGTTCGTGACATCATGCTTCGAACCATTTCTTTAAGAGTCATGTTTCTCCTTTCCGCCACACCATTTTGCTGTGGTGTGCCCAGATTCGTATACTGAGCAATTATTCCACATTTTTCCAAGACCAATGCCAATGGCCCTTTAGCTTGACCTGTCTCAACATACCTGCCATAGTATTTCCCTCCTCTATCTGACCTTAACACTTTAATGGACAAATTGGTTCTCTACTTCAGTTTTAAAATTTTTAAAACAATCCATGATTGAAGATTTCTTAGAGATTAAATAGAGGTGTGTACCGTGAATAGTCATCGATAAAAGTCACAAAGTAAACATTTCCACAAAGAGTTTTAGTGGGAAAAGGTCCACAGACATCCGTATGGATGATCTCTAAAAACTTTTGACTTCTAATCGAACCTTTCTTTTTCAGATTTGTCAATTTCCCTTTGCAACAATCAATACAATTCACTAAGTCATTGAAATTCAATTTTGGCAAAATCTCATCTTTAACCAGATGGTCCATTCTAGCCCTAGAGTGTGGCCAAGTCTTCTATACCAAAGCACAGAAGAACTCTCATTTAAAAACAATCTCTTTCTTGGCATTGAAGCCTTGACATTCATACAATACATCTCATTTAAAACAATACAAACACTTGCCAAAGATCACTCATTAAGAGACAAATTCCAAGCACATTTGATCGATTATTTTTCAAGAAAATATTAAGATTTTCATTGTCACCAACAAAAGCAAAGCCGGATTTCACAAGTTGAGAAGCAGAAATTAAACTCATTCTTATAGAAGGTACATAAAGAAGATTACATAATTCCAAAATAAAACCACTAGAAAGCCCAAGTTTGAGGTCGCCTGTTGCTTCCACTTCAACTTTATTCCCATTGCCCACATAAAACTTGAAAATCTTCACTTCTTGTAGTATTTCTTCTTGTAAACCCCTACAATGAATTGGTGATATGAACCGAACAACCAGTGTCAAATCACCAAGAATTTGGAGGGATTTCAACAAGATTAGTTTCAAAACAAACGAAAATTTTTACAAAAGTTTTACCCTTCTTATTTTTCCAAAATTTTCTTTTCTCATAGTCCTTCTTCACGTGACCAAGTTTCTTGCAAAAGTAGCACTTAATATTGTCCATGTCCTTATGTGTCACGGGTCCCTTTGAGGAGGATGCATACATGGCAGTAGTAGTGTAATTAGGGTCAAGCTTAGAGACCTGACCAGGATAATATGTAGCCCTTTTTCCTTTGTTAGCCTGCACCAAGTTTACGGTGCCATAAATCTCATTCCTCCTGATTCTTGCTTCCTCTTGAGCACAAATGGAGATCAACTCATCCAATGTCCACTTCTCCTTCTCTGTGTTGTAGGATGTATTCAACTGATCAAATTTTGGTGGTAGAGAATTGAGCGCCATGTGAACAATGAAGGCATCATCAATTGGAACTTCCAAATCTTTTAGCTTTGCACCAGTCTCTACTAGCTTGAGAATATGCTCCCTCACAAACTTATTCTCATCAAGTTTGAGAGTGGTGAATGTAGTCATCAAATCACCCATTTCTGCCTTCTCGGACTCCCTGAACTTGGCGCTCACTGCATCTAGAAAGTCGCTTTGTCACAGGCTATGATTCCACCCCTGACTGTCTCACCCATCGTTATTTTCATTACCATCAAGGACATTCTGTTGGCTTTCTCCCATTTCTCAAACTTAAGCCTTTGATAAGCAGTTGAGTTTTCATCCAGTAGTGCTGGTTCATCCTCTCTTAATGCCAAATTGAGATCCATTAGTCCTAGCACGATCTCAATGTCTTGCTTCCATTTCTTGAAATTCCCTCCACTCAAAGGTTCAATGGAGGACAAGTTCATAGATGAGGTATTCACTAAAGAAGACATGGAAACATTAAAACCGTTTAAACACATGCTTATATCGTACCTTTAGGTAAATCTATAAGCAACCATTCATTCTTTATTGTACACCCATCATTACAGGATCTTTTCATGCAAGTATATCAAGTCTTTGGACAAGTATATGGCCTGATCAACATGATGTTATACACTGATCAAAACTTCAACAATTCATACATTCTTTCTTTGGACAAGAACGTTGACATTCAATAAGTTTTCATCACCAGTTATGTATGCATATAAAATCAAGGAAACATTTAAAATAACATGAGATGCATGATCTCACAACAACGTTGTACGAGAAACACAAATAGGATTAGTAGCAATTAAGTTGGCTCTGATACCAAATGTAGGAATTAACTCCATATACTTAACTGAAGGACCTAATCACTACCATAAAAGCATTAGAGTGATACCTGAAGAAGAAATGGTTGGTTGCACAAGGAATCCTTCTACTCACTCAAGACCTTTATATTCTTATGGTGATAGAAATTGATATCTCTATACACGGGGGGGCAAACTGACAAATATGCCTTCTTGTTTTGTTATTTATTTATGTTGGATTTTTTTTTAAAATAAAATTTGTATACAACCATATATTTACATTAAGCAAATAAATTGAAATCATGCTCGTCATTCGTAAAATTCGAACATATCCCTCACTTACAAGTGAATAATAATACAACTAGACCCTAATATTAAGTGGCTTGTTTTCAAATTGTTATTAGCAATCAAAATATAACAAATTTGCAGGTCTGGAAGATTGGATCACTCAATGGTCCTGATACAAAACTAGTTCACCCAATACACACACGCCCCGTATTTTGGCCCATCAATCACCCCCTAGACCCCCTTGATGTGTCTTTAACCGGACGGTCACTTGGTCCGGTCGTTCCAAGTTTAAAGTATGTCCTCAACGTAGTATTCATTGTATGAACATCTACACCTTTGTCGTCTAGGATTATCTTAGATTGAATAATTTATTAGATTTAGTGAATCTTGAATGAAAAAAATTAATGATAACTTGCACACGGAATCACATAAAAAACTTATCCCTCGTCATTCAATACTAAGGGTCAGTTTGGGATTATTGCGTTTTTTTTATATTTTAAAAATGTTGTTTTTGTTGTGCTTTAAGAATAATCATTGGTAAAATAAAACAATTGAGATTTTGGTAAACTGCGGCGGTAGTGGTGATGCAGCGACAAAGGTGGGGGTACGATGGTGCTGTCAATAGTGGGGTATGGTGGTTAGGGTGTAAAGGTTAAGGTAAAAATGGTGGTAAGGGCGGCGACAACGGTACTGGGAGTAGTAGTGGTGGTTGTCGTGGTGGCGATTGTGGTTATGGTGGCGGTGGCGGTGGCGGCAACGATGGTGGTGGAGGTGGTAAAAAAACGATGGCGGCGGCGGTAGTGGCAATGGTGGTGGTGCGGTTACGATGGTGGTGATGGTAGCGGTGGTGTTAGATTAGGGTTTGTAATGGTAGATCATGGTGGTCATTTCGTTTACCAAGGGGTAAAATGTGTGTAGAAGGTTACATAATGTCATTTTAAAAAATTAATGGGTGTATTATAGGAATTGAAAATATTTGTTGAAGTCTCTGCTACTCTTTTTATGAAAGCATGTTGCTTTTAAACTGGAGGTCATTGCTTTTAAAATAAACAAACAGCCTCTCCTCATCCGATACCAAGAAAAGCATTTCTTTACATGTCTTAAGGTATGGGGTAAGGCTCTCCACAAATCTCTTTTTACTTCCCATACACTCTCTCAATTTTTGACTGTTGGATCGAATAAATTTAAAAAGATCAAAGGACAAAAATTAAGAAGAATCTAAAAATTTGACAATTACGAACAAGAGTGTCCAAATTCCTGGTAGAAACTAACATATATTATTCACAATTTCACATAGCCCTCATCACCGAGGTGGTAGTGCATTACAGCTATGGAAATCCACAGACGCAACATTTTATCTGGTTACAATCAAGGTTCAGTCTCTAAATACAAGACTTCGAGAGGTGGGAATGAACTAGTCCGCATAGCATGAGAAGGAGGCGATGGTGTCAGTGTTTTTTCTTATCCAGTTTGAATCATATCATAATCAAGTGACAACGCTAAGAGCGCGCTCTATTTCCTCCAGTGAACGCCCTTTCGTTTCAACGATATTACCAGCTATGTACAAGACAGCCAGAAGACAGACGCCAGCGAATCCAAAATACACTCTGCCGATTCCAAACTTAGTTACAAAGCTCAAGAAATAGAGGCCTATGACGAAGTTTGAAATCTGATGAAACATATAAACACTCAGTTAATATATGAGACAAGAGAGGTGAATCAATGAAGAATAAAAAGCACATCCAACGTATTCTTGCGCAAACCAAATAATCAATGTGAGCATGATACGCATCTTTTTTTCTTTCGGTTGCATGATATCAGTTTCTTCATTCATTTTCATTCCGCAGAAAACACGCAAAGGTTTACACACATGCAGATATGTACCTAGTATCTATCTACACACAGATAGGCACAGAAATATGCATTCCGAATGCAGGTCCAGACAATAACAGTCATTTAAAAGCGAAATCAATATCCTTTTGCAATCAAGTTCTTTTGGTTTGGACAATTTAATTATCCAATAATTTGTCTTGCTTTCCCCATCTGAATTATAAATAAAAGCCATGATGAGGTAATTAATCGAAAATTTTAGTCCATAGGGAATCAACTATTACCAATAAGCTGTTGAAATAAACAAACAAATAAGACTTTCCTAATACCACTAAAAAAAGGGCAACCTGAAGCCAACAAGGCTCCCCACTTTGCGAGGATCGTCCGGGGGTGCTTGGAGCGTCTATCGTAATAACATATTTCCTAACACCAATGTATACACGAAAATTCTGTGTCCAATGAAACAAGAATACGTATACAAAATAGTATCAAGTGAAATTTCAGTGTCTACAACCACTTACCCAGTGCATGCCCAAAGACAAAGAAACTGCTTTTGCTCTGATTCTTGAAGCAAAAATCTCTGGTAGAAGAAGAGCAGGCACAGGGCCAGCGCCAAGTGCAAAGGACAATACATAGCTGGTAATACAAAATGAAAACCATGGTTAGATAGGAAATTAAATTTGAAACGGGAAAAGAGTGCGGAGATCTATCTATTAGTGGAAGCCTCTAACTTACAGAAAAGTTCCAGTGACAGAAAGGGGGGCAGAATATGGAGCCAGGGCTTTCCATGTAAAGGACAACGAAAGCAGCAACATCGAAGCAGCCTTAACAAATAAAAAAGAAAGAGTTCCCGGTATACATAAGAAAGAAACAAAGAACGTAAAATGATTCATCATAATTCAGTTAAAGCAGCATAGTAAAAGTGTTTTCTGAATATATTTGGACCATGAAAATTATTTTGTTGCAAACACCACCTACTGACGAAGCCACTTAAGTTCAGTTTACAGGACATAGAGGAAAAACCGCGTGTCCCATTTTCCCTCGAATTTTCCAAGTAAATAAAATTTCAAGGCCTCATGACATAACAGTGTGATCTCATTGCTTGCTATGTATGCAGACAATGAACCTGAAACTGTAGGGCACACACGTAGTGCACTTGGGTTAGTGCAGACTGCAGACAAAATACCTATAATCATTTAAAAGTGATGCAATCAATGTGATCTAATTGCAATCCTTCTACTTATCCGAGTACAGAACCCTACAAGCCCCGGATACATTCATAGCTTTCTTGCAGCCACTAGTCTCAAATTGCTAAAATGGTCTGGCTGGCCAACCCACAATGTACTATTCATTTACGTCAAGCAAAGAGAGAGATTGATAATGAAAATAACCCTACCATCCCACCGAAGCTTCCGAGTAGAAGACTCTTCCTGCCCTGTTTGTCCATCAATGAGGATGCAATAGCTGTGCCTGAAATGAGACAATTTTTGGTTCTAGAGAACATACCATGGCAAATATATATTTCTTTTTCCAAACTTCAAGAATAAAGATAGTAAGAGCCAAACCAAAGACATTTGCTAATCCAACCAGAGCACTTGCTGCAACGTCAGATGTAATGCCAGCACTGCGGAAGACAGAAGTAGAATAATAGACCGCAGCATTTATCCCAGCCATCTGTTGTAAGAAGAAAAGTGACACGCCCACACTAACAACTGCATAAAGACATGTCAGCAGAGAAAAATAACGCATCACATCTCAAGCACCACTCCTGTGAAATTTAGGCAAACCTTTCCAATAGCGGCTACTAAACAAATCAAACCAGCCCGCTTCAGGTTCAACAGAACCTTGGGCTGCTGATCTCAAGTCATCCATAACCTCGGTAACTCTTTCCTTTCCAAATAGCGTTTTTATAGCTTTTTCAGCTTCAGAAAATTTTCCTTGCTGCAAAAAAAAAAAAGCGCTTAGCATTTTCATCGAAAATAATCATGAAAGGAAAATCAAATAAAACTAACAGCTAAAGAGAATGCAATGAAAAAGCAGATCTAACATCTGTGCAGATGTTTGATCAAACTGTGTTGAAAACCTGGAAAAGCCATCTTGGACTTTCTGGTGAAACAACCATTCCTAATGCCAAAAGAACAGATGGTACTACTGCAATACCAAACATCGTTCTCCACCTGATAAAATAAATAATAGAGTAAAAAGAAAGAGAGAGAGAGAGAGATAACTGACATTTAAAGATCAAGAAGACTTATACTACCAAAGTTCATAAACAGGGTTTTGTATATTCACTTTTTGCCAGTTGAAGGCACAATGATTTAGTATACACTGAAGATATTCGTCCTCTGCCAGGAGAATATCCTTCTGAGATCACAAGATTCTGAAAATGGAGTAAAGTAACTAAGATTGTGTCTAGAAAATTGATGGATCAATCTAGCGAGGAGGTTAGATTAGCCCTGGAAACATAAGATCAGAGTTGCCAACCAAATTTAAAAAATCCAACAAGTTAGACTTTTATTTTAGCCCATTTGAATAAGAAGAATTTTCTATTTCTCTACTGGTTTCTGGCTTCAGCAGAGGGGCTCTTTACCAGAAAATTATATATCAGACTCAAAAGTGAACAATCTATGTACTCTTCATTTATAACAGAGGATAAGTATCCAAATCGGAGCCTGTTATTACCTAAGATTTGTACTTCCTCTCTTTCTTGATAATGTCAAATTTCATTCGGACAGAGCGACGTTTACGAATACATGTGCTTTAGCGTGAACATGCACGCGTGCGCACACAAACAACACATCCACATATGTCTGTGCCCACACATAACAAAACCGCTTAAAAGAAAAGAAAAGATGCAATGATGAAATACCATAAGGGATTTGCTGCTAATGGTAATCCAGCCACCATTGCTACAAGAATCCCAATACATATAAAAAGCTGATTTATAGATCCAAGGGTACCACGAATTTCAGTTGGAGAGATCTGAACATTAGAAAATATGGTTGGTAAGTGGTACATTTACAATGCCAAATGCCAACAGATTGAGGGTGGGAATATATAAACAAAAATAGTACCTCAGATATATAAAGTGGAACAATAGCAGATGTGATGCCAATTCCAATGCCAGCAAGTAAGCGGCCAACTATCATCGTTTGCACACTCTGGGCTGTGGCACTGAAATATTTAACAAGTCTATTTATTAATTTCCAATATTCATATCACTGATCACAACCTTATACTCGTTGGCAGTAGACAGACCACAAAAATGCTCCAATTGCTAGCGGAATTGCATTTAGTTGAAAAGCCTTAGTTCTGCCGAACTTGTCAGCCAATGATCCACCAGTTAAAGATCCAACTGTGGCACCTGCTAGAAGTGTGCTAACGACCCACCCTGCAAAAGAGATGTATCTTGGTATAACAATGAACTAAACAATCATGGGAGAAAATAGCATAAGCAAAACAATCCCGAAATCTGTAGTTGAGGCGACATTATATTGTTGCACTTAAGTTAATGCACCGAGTCTATAGCATAAAATGTCGTACCCAGTGCACAAGGCTCCCGCTTTACGTAGGGTCTGGGAGAGGTGAATGTCGGCTAGCCTTACCCTCATTTATGGAGAGGCTGCTCCCAAGTCTCGAACCCGAGACCTACCGCTTATGGGCGAAGGCACTTGCCATCGCACCAAGTGCGACCTCTTACCGAGTCTATAGCATAGCTAAAACAATTTTTACAAAATGATGATAGTACTAGATAATATATTCCTTTCTTAATTTGGAAATGTAGTCCTCAAGCAATAGGAAAATGGTGCAAATTTGTTTCGTGACACACTAAGATAAGATGACAAACAAGGAAACTTTACCATTACTTGATTCAAGCTGTTATTCACATATTTAAACGACCAAATAGTGGACTTGCCTTGCAATACTGCATTTTCCGCAATACCAAGATCAATTGAAAGGTACTCAAGAGCACCATTTACCACCCTGCAGAAAATACAGACAGATGCCACACTAGGCCTCAGACACTATCAAGTTATACGCTGATTTGCGGAACTACTGTAGAAAGAGATATAACAAGACCTCTCAGGACTAGCACATCCTGTGACCGACTGAAAAACAATATCTTTACTTGATAAAACCTAAATGACTCATTAAGTATAGAGAAATCCAGAACAAATCAAGGAACATGTCTTTTAGTAATCAAGTTAAACCGTACCCCAGATGATAACCAAACAAAATAGCTCCAAGACAAGCAACACCAACATACGGCAATACTGTTCCAGAAGACTTCCCCTGAGGCTTGGAGGGTATAAGATTGTCAACGTCCCCATCTGCATTTTATAATACTAGTAAGAACAATATAAATCAAATTTCAAAGCATAATGCCCGGGTTAGGTATTGGATCTGGTTAACCCCTAGAAAACTGATACATTCCAGGGATAATGCTAAAAATCCTAATTAAACATCATCAAAGAAGCATCCAGATTGACTAAAAATATTAGTTACATAGAGACAGTTCTATGATGTGGAAAATGAATTTTTCGTCGAATGAGCATAAGCAATAGAACTACAGATTTAGTACTCAGTTTTTTCGATAAAACTTTAGTAGACCAATCCCACGTAAATATATTAACCCAAGTTGCCAAAATTGTCAAAAAAAAAACGGCTGTTACAGCTTACGCATCCTTTTGTAAAGAATGTAACAGTTCTAATGAATGATATCCTCCTCCTCCCAGTCAAACAATAAAATGAGGCTACAGTTTAAGCTAACCAAGAAAGTTATATACATTACTAAGACCAACTCCAATGGTGGGCTAAAAGCCAAATTACCCCTCAAAATTTCCCCTCAAACCCAATCCAACCCAAAGTGAAAATTTGGGCTAAATGCTAAATGCTAAACCAAGGCCAGATTCTCCCCAAAATTTAACCCAGAAATTGGAGAGGGCTCCACCAAATAGAGTGAAAAGGAGCGTTTGTGCGCCAAACGCAGCCCACCCACTCGCCCAACTCACGCGTCACGCGGCGCCTCAGACAGCGAGTGCCCCGCCCACGTGGGCCTATCGGCCACATTCCGTAGCACCTCCAACGGCTAGTTCCATCCAACGGTCATGATCTACAGGCCGTTGGTTAATCCAATGGCCTAGATTCATTTTTTTTTGTTTTTATATTTATATATTATTGAATCCAACGATTGAGATCGAATATAATCAAATCTAACGGTAAAAAAAAAATCTAACGGCCCAAATTTAAATCCAACGGCTAAAATAATTAAAAAAAATATTTAACTCAAAATTCACCCAGGGTTGAAAGATTGGTGAAAGTTGAAGGCTTGCTTTGTGGAAAATTTAGTGATTTTTCAATATTTATCGGAATTAAAATTTTTTTAGATTAAATGTTCATAAAATTAATTTACGATAGTTTACATATTTATTATTTTTAAAAAAAATTTAATTTAACAAAAAAAATAGTCTAAGTTCATTATTTAATAATCCCAGCTAAAATGTTAGGCCAGAACGGTTGGAGCAGAAAACTGTTTCTGGGCTAAAAGCTAAATTTTTCGGGCTAAAATATTTGATTTTTAGCCCAACCATTGGAGATGGTCTAAGCAGTTACTAATGACAGAGGCAACAATACCAATTTTGAGATCTCGCTTGACAAAAAAAAAAAGGTGATCTAAAGTTATTATCAGACAATCTCCAACACTTGGCCTAAAATCTAAAATTTTTAGCCCATAAAATTTAGGGTTTAACCCAAAAATAGCTGCTCCAACCCTTCTGACCTAAAATTTTATTTCCAGATTATTGAAGAATGAATTTGGGCTAATTGTTTTTTAATTAACTTTAAAAAAATTATGTAGACTATCCTAAATTAATTTTATGAACATTTTAACCTAAAAATATTTAAATTCCGATAAACATTGAAAAATCACTAAACCAACACATGAAACTCAAGAAACACTATAGAAGAATATGAAACACATGATAGAGATGTATAAACACAAGACACGTGAGCAAACACATGGTTTTGGAAGATGGTAGAAAGAAAAATTGGAAAAATTGTAGGAGAAAAGTGAGTTTTGTGTGGATGTTTCAACAAATATATAGGTATTTATAGAGTTTTTGGGTGAATTTTGAGTTAAATAATTTTTTATAATTATTTTAACCGTTCAATTTAAATTTGGGCCATTAGATCTTTTTTTACCGTTAGATTTGATCATATTCGATCTCAGTCGTTGGATTCAATAAATTTATAAATATAAAACAAAAATATTAATTAAATTAAATGTGAATCGTTGGATAACCAACATCCTATTTGAATGTGAGCTGTTGATCAACCAAAAGTGTCATTGGGCTCAATTTTATTAGCAGACAAGTGGAAGACACACCCATGTGGGTGGGGGCTCCACCACTAATCTTGATCTAAATCCTAGCCTAAATCTGACATTTTTTTAGGTTTTAGGTTTTAGGTCCAAATTAGAACTTGGGTTGGAATGAATTAGGCCTTCTCCAACCCTAGGCTAAAACTTAAATTTCCACTTCTATTCTCTCCCAAAACCCAACCCAACCCAAGGCTAAAATGTGGCCTAAAACCTAAAACTCAAATGAAAGCTAAATTTAGCCCAGGATTAGTGGGGCTGGCCCACCATATCTGTATATTTTATTTAATTTTATATTTATAAATTCATTAAATCCAACGGTTAAGATCTAATTTGATGAGATTTAACGGTAAAAAAAAAATTAACAGTCCAAATTTAAATCTAACGGCTAAAGTAATTAAAAAAAAATCTTTTATTTGTTTCATATTTTTCATAGTGTTTAACGAGTTTCATGGTGTCGGTTAGTGATTTTTTAGTATTTGTCAGAATCTAAATATTTTTAGGTTAAAATGTTCATAAAACTAAATTAGGATAGTTTACATAATTTTTTTATTTTAAAAAAGTTACTTTAAGAAAAAAAATAGTCTAAATTTATTCTTTAATAATCTGGAGCTAAAATTTTAGACTAGAAGGGTTGAAATAGAAAAGTTGTTTCTGGATTAAAACCTAAATTTTTTAGACTAAAAATTTTAGGTTTTAGACTAAGGGTTGAAGATGTCTTAGGGGGAATAGAAGAGGAATTACAGGTTTTAGGCCATGGGTTAGAGTTGGCCTCAAAAGGTAGCATATACTCTCAAATGGTGATCAAAAGTAAAAACAATGCACGTAAAAGAGAAAACGAATAAGCATGATTGACAAACCAGAAGCCTGAGCCTGGACTGATCTGGCTTTCAAAGTGGCCATGGAAATCCCATCAGACCCCATTCTAAGACCTGAAAGCTTGGCTCCCGTCACCTGCGCCGCAGAACGGAGGCTCAATCCACCACAGCAAGTTCTCCTCTCTGCAATGCATAGATTCCTCCGCCCTGTACTTGTTCGGTTCCTCAATTCTCCAAAACCCAATACCCTTTTTTGGTTTTGCACGTCAAACCCCAACTTCCCATTTACTGAACCATGGGTTGACGCTTGCATTTTTACCTGGTAAATCGTGAGTGATTAATTACCCCATTACCAAAAAGTCAAAATAACCAAAACCCATTAAAATGTTACAGCATAACACTCAAAATCCAAATCAGATGTGATTTATAACCTATTTCAGCGCAGAAATTATAAAAAGTACGGCAAAGTCGTTGAAGAACAAGTAGAACAGAGCATAAAAAAAATTTCAAGAAATCGATCAGAAACTAAGCAATATTGCTGGTAAATGAATTGTACCAATGCCATTATTTGAATGATCTGTAATAATTACCAGATTGAAATCGAGCGTATGATGAGCAAAACCCAGAAAGCGATCGACGAATCTGTGATGCTCTGCTTTGAAACTGGGTTCTTTGTGAGAGAGTATCGTGAAGTCGGCAGAAGGTGAATTGTAAAAAGGTGGTGGCACAATTTACGTACAAAGCAGTTTGCCTCCAAAAACAACAAAGCGGGTGAAGAATTCAACACCGTTACACTACCACTACTTTCCCATTTCTGATATTATTTTATTTTTTTTGTCTTTTCCCCTCAAATTTGGCAAGCTATTTCTTTTCAGTTCATAGTTGCTGAACTGATATTTTTAGTCTGTGGTTTATATTTGTTGTCAGTATTTAATTGATATTGATCAATACGTTGTGGATAATTGATTTTGACCTATTCAACGATTAAAATTTAATTTTAGATCGCTTTAGTCAACAAAAAAATGTATCATTTGTACTATATTATAATTGTATTTTGCACCTCTTGTAATTATTTCAGATCATATTATTATGAAATGTTAATTATATAGCATAGTTCAAGGGACAGCGTAAATATATTATTGTGCTAATGATTACTTGTCTTTAAAATATTGACATCAAATATAAAAATTATAAGCATATACAAGATAACACTTCTGAGATATTTTATACATTTTTTTTGCATGTATTTGCAATTTAATTTAGGAAATTTCTGTTTTGAGTAATAGTTTGTGGAAGAAATGAGTTTGAATTTTTTTATTTCTTTTTGGATGATAAGGAGGCGGGATTTCGGATCAGATTTGAGTGCGTAGGGATGTCGCGGATTGCTCGTGGAACAGAGGAGTAGCTTGTGGCATTCGTTATGTGGCCTTGTTCTCTCTCGTCTCCATCGCAACTAGGAAATACACACATGACGCATTCACTGATGCACAAAAGTAATTGTTTATGTGGGTGATATGATTATTACTTAAAACTATTCAAATAAAGTTCAACGGAAGGAAATTTTATCGATAAAATAAAAGAAGTCACACTAGTCATGGATGACATAAACACATAAACCTAATTCCTCATAATACAAGAAAAAATGATTTTAAACATACATAAAAAAAGAAGGGGACATAAACTTTACCCTTCTATAAAGGAAAAACAATAAAGATCCAAGGAAAAGAGGGGTGCCATGGAACCTAACCCTTTTATAGCAAAAACCTAAAGGTTTGAACTTGCAAAACAGATCAAACAACATCACATGATTAACAAAAAAAAATAAAGTGAGACAAACCTGTATGGCAAGATGCACATTAATTGAGAAGCAGAAACCATGAAAGACAACATACTCTGAAAACAAAGCTGAGCCACCAACATAGGAGAATCATGTCATACCAAAGTTGGAGAAGACAAGCCAAACAAATGAATCGTTGCGCACAAAGAGGCCAAGGAAGACCAAAATCAGTCCGTTGAAGAGCAGAAATAATACTGGAAGAGTCACTTTTCAACCAAAGACAATGTCAAGTGGCTCTACTTTCAATCCAAAGCATTTTTGTTTTTTAAATTTTGTCAACAAACAATTTTTGTCGAAACTGAAGTGTTTTTTACTTCATAAAGAAGCGGTTTTAACTCTTTGTAAAGTACATTCAAACGAGCTATATAATCAATTTTTTGAAGCCTTTTAACTCTTTGAAAAGTGCATTCAAACGAGCTATTCAGTCTATTCAGTCAATGGCTACTTCTCTCAGTAAACTACTGCTGTTACTGGCTTCCAACTTAAGAATCCTCAAAACGCATTCCATCTCCGTTCTCATCCTCATACATGTACCCTCTCAACCCAAAAAAGACTTGGAACCCCAATGGCTGCTCTCACCATTACTTACCCCTACCACCGACATCTCACACACATTTAGAAAACTCAAGGACCAAGGCAAAGTGGCATTCATTCCCTACATCACCGCCGGTGATCCTGATCTTTCAACCACGGCTCAGGCTTTGAAGATGCTCAATTCGTAGGTGTGATGCTCGATTCGTGTGGATCAAACGTGATTGAATTAGGTGTGCCATACTCGGATCTAGTACCCGATGGTCCAGTTATTGAGGCTTCAGCTACTCGTTCAGTCGTTCCTTTGCAAAGGGGACGAATTTCAATGCAATTATGTCAATGTTGAAGGAGGTGGTGCCACAATTGCTTGTCCCATTGTTCTATTTTCGTACCTCAACCCGATTCTTAAGCATGGTGTTGACAAGTTCATGTATGGACGTTGGGGTGCATGGGCTTGTGGTTCCAGACGCTCCATTTGAAGCAACAAAAAGTTTGAGAAATGAAGTTGTGAAAAATAAGATCGAATTGGCACTAATAACTTGACGTAGGCATACAAAAACTGCTTGATGATGCGAACAGTTTAGAAAAATCCCTAGTCATTTAGAGGGTCTTTCCTGATCAATGAGGATTTATTGTTGCTTGTCTTTTCATTTTCTTGAAACAAGTCTTTATAATCTGTTCATTTGCTTTGTAATGGACAATTTTTTTTTATCAATACCAATTCTGAAACGAGAGTTTCTCTCACAGCTACTGGAATTCCAGAGTTCTTTCAAGGGAGACCGTTCGTGATCCCTTTTCTTACAACTTCCGCTGTGTCAGTTGGCATTGGAGCCCGATTTTCTGATTTGATGGATGAAGACGAAGCAAGAACCAATCCTAATATCACAAGTTTCGCAGACGTGAGTCGAGAGCTTGTGGCTATGAAGGGTCGCATCAATCATACAATGCAAAATTCTCTTGCTGAAATTAGAGAAATGATTGCAGGCCTGGCAATAGGCGGCGCTCAACGTGTTGTTCGTGCTCACGAACTAGTTGCAGCACACAAACAAGTCAGAGTTTTCCCTAATGGTGATTTAGATTCTGAAGATGACGTTATCCCTGCCATCCCTGAAAACCCACGAGAAGAAACAAAAAAAAAAAAAAAAAAAAAAAAAAAATCAAATTTCCACTTTCAATGGAAATTTATCGATTGAAGAGTTCTTAGATTGGCTTGTAGAGTGCAAGAAGTTCTTCGAATATGCAGAGATAGCTGAAGCGAGACAAGCTAAAGTTATGGCATGGAGGCTAAAGGGGAGCGCTGCCGTTTGGGGGGATGAGCAACAAGAGTCCAGGGTGCAGAAAGGAAAGAATCGTGCCCAAACTTGGCGCAAAATGCAGAGCATGCTTCAGGTTGGATTCCTTCCCCGGAATTACGAGCAGGTGTTGTTTGAAAAATACCATGGTTGCGTACAAGGAAGTCGAACTGTGCATGAGTATTCATAGGAGTTTTTCAACCTTGCTACAAGAAATCGTCTCACAGAGTCCCTTGCACAACAAACTGCACGATATTTGTTTGGATTAAGATCTTCTATTCGTGACAAAATTGGATTACAGCATGTTAACTCCCCCTCAGAAGAAAAAGAGTTGGCTATTAGTGCCGAATTACTGGAGAAAAATCGTAGCAACCAAAGCTATGGTTTTAGAAAGCAGTGGGGAGAGTCATCTCAAGTAAGGGTGGGTTCAAAAAACAGAAAATCGAAAACCGAAAAAAACCAAAAACCAAACCGAACCGAAGCTGAAAAACCAAACTGAAACTACCAAACTGAACTGAATCAAACTGAATTTGGTTGGTTCGGTTTCGATTTTTAAGGTTCGAAAACCGAACCGGACCGAATCGAACAAAAAAAAATCATATATAAATAACCGAAAAAAAAATCATATATAAATAATCAAAAACATACTGGCGTTAAGGTTTGAACCCCTGACCTAGAGTTGGGGGTAGTTGCTTCAAGCCAACTTAACTGCAGGCTTTGTGTTGTTATAATTGTACCCTCAACTTATTTATAGTTTTTAATATTTAATGCCTTATAAAATTTCTTAACTCTACAAACCCTAGCCGTCTCACTCCAATTTCAACTTTCACCTTTTCTCAAACACTCTCTCTCTCCCCCCCCCCTCCGCTACTTCCTCTCTGCCTTTGCTTCCTCAATCTCTCTCTCTCTCTCTCTCTGATCTGGATTTTGGTATGAGCTTGGGTTTTTCAAATTCAAGGTTTTTGTTAGGGTACTTCCAATTTTAGCTCAGATCAGAGTGATGTGAATCAACTGGGTTCGATTAAAGTTGGAAGGTTTTGTGTAATTTGGGTTAAATTCGAAAGTTTTCAATCTGCATCGCACTTGCATCATGTGCTACCGATCTGTGAAAAAATAGCAAAATATTTGTTTATGTTTTGGGTGATCTTTTAGGGATTTCGTTTCATGAAGCTTTTGGGTTTTTTTGGTGATCCGTGGTGTGTGTATGCATGTTTCTGGTGGCATTAATGGTGAATTCCATATATTTTGTGGTAAATTTGTTTACTTCAAAGTTTTTAACTTTATGTGTTGTGTAGGAAATTTCTGCTCTAGTTGTAGACGGTATGGATCTGACCGATTACATCATATCCACAACCATTCAAGGCAACAATGAAGAACCGAAAAAAAAAAACCGAAACCGAACCGAAAAAAACCGAACAAAAAAAAATTGAAAAAAAAAATGGACCGAACCGAATCGAACTGAAATTTCGGTTTTGGCAAAAAACCGAACCGATTTGAACCGAACCAAGCCCTAATCTCAAGCTTCCAACAATTTCTCAAGAAACAAAGGAATGGTGTAGCAGCAACAGATTTCCAAGGATCCAGAAAAGAGGGTTGAAAATAAAGTTGATTACCAAGAGCGAAGAATAGTCCTCGTCCTCGTAACACCCCTCGTTTTCAAAACAACAACTTCTGGGAGCAAACTAATCCGTATGCCAAGCCTCGCGGAAATATGTGTTACAAATATGGCAGCCATGGGCATCCCACAAACACCTGTAGGGGCGGTAAGACAATGACTTTAGTTGAAGGAGATGAAGATAAAGACACAGAGGACGATTATGATGAGGATATGGCTGAGGAAGAAGGAGAGAAGTTGGTGTTAGTCCTACAGTGAGTGCTTTGTTCCAAACGCAGCGATGACAATCAACGTTATCAAATCTTTCGCTCTAAGTGCACTATTTGGGGCAAAGTTTGTCAGTTGGTAATAGATGGAGGTAGTTGTGAAAAATTCGTTGCGAGAAAGGTTATGGAGCACTTTCATCTTCAAATTGAGAAATATTCACACCCATATTCAGTTGGGTGGATTAAGAAGGGCCCGACGGAAAAGGTGATTGAAACTTGTAAGGTTCCCATCTCCATTGGGAAGTTTTACAAGGAGGAAGTTGTTTGTGATGTAGTGGACATAGACGTGACTCATGTATTGCTCGGTAGACCATGGCTTTGGTATAGAAATGTCATGCACAAGGGCC